GGGGGGGGGGGGGGGGGTAAACCCAATCAAGTTTTAAAGCCTGTGCCGTTGTGTCTGATGCCAGTTATCAGTCAACTGTTCAAACATATAATAGTTGACTGTGTGGGCTCTTTGCCTCCATCCAAATCAGGTAACTTGTGTTTGCTTACAGTTATGTGTCAGACAACCCATTATCCTGCAGTGTATCCTTTGCGTAGGATCACTACTAAGGCCGTGGTTAAAGCTTTAACGCAATTTATTTCGATTTTTGGGATACCTAAGGTTGTGCAGAGCGATTAAGGGACCAATTTTACTTCAGGAATGTTTGCGGAGGTTTTGACGCGGCTTGCTGTGAAACACAATCAGTCTGGAGCGTATCACGCACAAAGTCAGTGGCTCGGGAAGTCATACAAGAGAGATTGGGTTTCAGTCCAAACCAGTTGGTTTTTGGTCACACGGTGTGGGGACCTCTTGCAGTTTTGCAAGAAGAATTAAAGAGCGAAAAGCCGCCTAAAAATTTGTTGGATTATGTTCATGGATTTTGTAGGCGTTTGTTTTTGGCAGGACAAAAAGCACGAGAACATCTTGTAAAGGTGCAAATTAAAATGAAAAAATTGTTGTACGGAATGTCGTGATTTCAGTCCAGGTGATCATGTATTAGTTTTGCTGCCTTCACCTGGAAATCCATTTTTTGCAAAGTTTTATGGACCGTAAACAGTTAAACGAAAGGTATCTGAGCAACACTATATAATTGCGACTAATATAATTCTAATCAGCTGGGTCATGCCAGTCTGCTTAAAACCCATATTTCCCTCGTAATGCAGTCATGAGGATAGATCCTGTTTTAGTTGCCACTATGGCATTTGAGAAACCTCTTAATTCTCCTGTTGGTGAGGATTTTAAGGCGAGTGGTGAGTTGTTACTGCACCTGAAAAATTCAGAAACTCTGGAAAACTTTGAGAATTTAAGAAGTAATTTGCCCAATGAATATAGATCAGAATTAACTCGCTTAGTGGCTGTTTTATTTGGAGATGTACTATCGCACACACCTCTAATACATCATGATGTGGACGTGGGTGATGCGACACCAATACGACAGCATTTCTATTGGGTTCCTTTTGAGAAATGGTAGGCATTAGAAACTGAGGTCCAGTATATGCTTGACAACGGAATAGCCCAACCTTCGTTTTCTAGCTGGGCATCACCCTGTTTGCTAGTAAAAGAATCGGACGGTACATATAGGGTTTGTACGGACTACCGAAAGTTGAATAAAATAATAGAGCCCGATGCCTTTTCTTTTCCCCACGCGGAGGATTGTGTTGACCAAGTGGGTGCATCCAAGTCGGTGAGTAAATTGGATCTTTTGAAAGGGTACTGGCAGGTGCCGTTAGATTAGATCAACTTTACAATACATAAAGTATAATAAATGCAATTAAATTGCACACTACCCATCGTGCAACACACCTTAATCATCATAATCACATATAGTTACCACATGCATACACCAGAAAGGGAGAAAAAAATTAGCTTATATAATTATTAACCTCTAGCTGAAATGTGGTGTTTTGTTTCACGTCCATGTCTTTTAATTTGTAATTGTTTCATGGTTCCTGTTTGTGTCATGCTTCCCTTGCCTCGTGTCTCTCTGCCTTGTGTATGTGTCATGCTCTCATTGGTTATTGTCTAGTCATGTGATTCCCTTCTCGGTGTTATGTTCTGATTGGTTGTCCTAGTCATGTGTCTTGTTTCCCATAGGTTTGTTCTTGTCATGTGACCCTCTTGTTTCCTATAAGTAGCTTCATGTTCCCATTGTGCCCTCGTCGTGTATTGATGTTGTAACCCGCTGTCGGTGAGTCAAGTCTGTTTATGCCTCGTCAAGTCTGTTTATGCCTCGTCAAGTCTGTTTATGCCTCGTCAAGTCTGTTCAAGTCAAGTCTGTTCATGTCAAGTCAAGTCTGTTCATGTCAAGTCAAGTTTGGATTATTGTTTGGATCACCTTGTAAATAAACTGCACTTGGGTTCTCACTACGCTCGCCTTCAGTGGATTGATCGTTACACTAGCTAACTTGTCATTTAATACTTTAATGGACAAAGGAGTAAAACAGTTAAGCCTACACTGAGGAACTCTAAAGTAGGGATGCATCGATCCGATATTCTGTATCGGTATCGCTCCGATACTGGCATTTTCTGCCGGATCGGGGTATTGGTCAGATGAACCCATCCAAATCCGATATTCTGTGTATACTATTGTGTTATTGTTAAGCCCCACGAAAGGCACAAAAACATTATAAAGCACCATAAAGTTTCCGTGCACTATATTTCAAGTGTTCCGAAGCCGTTCCATAGTTTAATGTGAGGTACAGATGAATATTTAAGTCAAGTTCACAAACTCTTCTCTCCGCTGCGTCTGTCTGTCATCCTCCATTCAGCATTCAGACTGCATGTAGCATTCGGTTATGTCAGTCAAGAAGATTAAACTCTCTTCAAGAGCGCACAATAACTGAAATTTAAAACTGTTAAAAGAAAAGGCTCAGACTATAGCACAGATATAATACACTACGCATCAGTATCTCTTCCCTTTGTGCTTTTGAACTTTTCTATGCGGAGCACTGCACGCTTTGACTCTTCTTCCACGGGATGCACATAAGCGCTTTGTGCCGCTCTGTATTGGAGCCATACCCTTCCGTATTATAATACTTTTGCGCAATGAAAGATTATGAATAGTCTTTCTTGTTCTGTCCTATCTACCATATGCTGCTGCCTTCGTTACTGTGCTATACAGTTAAAGCAATGTCTTTTAACTTTAACTTTTCATGAGGTTTTTAACAATACAAAGAGCAATGTGTAACATTCTACCAGATTTATTCCTACACTTATTAACTTTTATTTATTCCCCGCTAAATGTTTTTTCTCTAAATGTTTAGATTTTATAAAATTATTGTGCACCCATGATTTTTTCTAGAGTATCTTTTGCTGCTGAATTATCCACTAACCTAGTTTATAATAGTATTTTTGTCATAAATGGAGTATATATTTTTCATTAAAATGAAGTTGTCTGTATTTAGCAGATTGTGTTTAACACACAAAAGAGTGATGATCAGGTCAACACACAGAAGTATAGAAATTCTACATTTTTTTTTTTTTTAAACTGCACTCGGATCAGATCAGTATCGCCTGATACTCCGAATTTTCGGTATCGGATCGGATCGGTTCTGTAAAAATGGTATAGTTGCATCCCTGCTCTAAAGCGTCTTCCCGAAGGAAGAAGTTGGTACTCTGAGTGAAGGACATGAGTGGGATCTGGAATAATTGTTTGAGCCTGTCTGATAACGGTTTCATCAAAAAGAGCCTGAAGTGTGGGATGCTTAACTCCCATAATTTTCATGGCTCTCTGTGTTAGCCATGTAATCTGGGCTTTCAAATGCACACTAAGATTGCCCAACCTGGCTGAGATGCCATAGCGAAAAATGCTCTTGATTACAGCATGATAAAAGAGGCAACGCTTTCTGGTTAACACCAAAACCCTCAGCCTACGGAGAAAATCTAGTCGCTGTTGGACCCTAATACAGACATTTTCCACCTGAACTCTCCATTTCAGTTTATCACCAATGTGAATGCCCAGATATCTGTAAGAGTCCACCTGGGCTATATTCTGATCTTTAATGACCACTGGTGAGTGATCTCCAATGGATTTGGGGTCGTCTCCACTGTTTTCTTCATATTAATGATAAGAAAATGATTATCACACCACTGAACAAAATTCTGAACCTCATGTTTGTAAGTAACAACATCTGATATGTTAACGGAACGTGTCCAAGAAGGGACTACTTTTATTACACCATCCGGGTTGCACTCTTACTCCATTATGAACGTGCCGGCAGACGTGCAAAGGTTAATGAATCGGGTGGTTTCTTCTGATGATGATGATGATGATGATGATGATGGGGGGGGGGGGGGGGACTTATATGGGCGGTC